TCCCATCCCCTCCCCTCCCATCCCATCTCCTCCCATCCCATCCCATCCCATTCCAGTTGCCGTTTAGAACCAAGGCGAGGGCATGCGTGTCCATTCCATGCGGGGGCAGAGCTTCCCCTCGCAGGGGACCGGGGACACCCTGGGGGACAGCACTGTCTCTGTTAAGGCCCTCAGACACGCAGCGTGGTCCTGCCTTTTTTCCTCCATCGTGGTCCATGGTGTCCTCTGGTCCCGTGGCCTGAAGCCCTCCTGGCTCAGCACCTTGCTCAGGAGCGAGGGCGAGCACAGGGATGTCTCTTTCCTGAGCAGAAATCACTTTGATTTGTGCCTTTATCTTCAAGCATCAGAGGTGCAGGATGGAGGCAAAGCCAGAGGGGATCTGGACCTGACTCTGGGGGGACAATTCTGCCATGAGCAAGAGGTGGACAGGACAGGGAGGAGTCCACACGTCCCTCTGAAGCTGAGAAACCAAATTTAAACTCTCTGCCCTAGGCAGGACTTGCAGTCATGCCTTACGTTGCAGGCGGCAGGGATTTTGCAGGGCAGTGCCTGGAGCCCATCCTCGCCCTCCATTCCAAAAAGCGATGGCCGAGCATCAGCAGCATCTGCAGGGGGGACTGCCTGTATCCCACAGGGCCCGGGGTGGTGCTTTGGGTACAGCAGCACGTGCCGATTCCAAACTAAGCCGTGAACTGGGTCTGCCGTTCCCTGGTGAGCAGAGCGCGAGACGTGGCCTCGGGGATCACCAAGAGAGTGAAGTGGGGCTGTGCCACGTCCCTGGGATCCCCAGTGCACCGGGGGCCTAAATCCCCATAATGCTCAGACCCAGCCAGAAGATAAAAGGACATTTCCTACGGCAGAGCTCTTGCACTCATCAGTAAGAACATGGACATGAAAATATTTCTTTCTGGGCCAAGCAATGGGGCCGCAGAGTGCCTCCATCACGAGTGCAGTGAGATTAGGGGGAAGCGCCTTAGCCTGGGCTTGGCCGGTGTGCTCTGCCGAGGCGGGGGCTTGCTCTGCCGAGAGGGGCCCCAGTGCTTCTCTTGCTCAGGACAACGGAGCTGCCATGGAGGGGCCGGGCTGCTGCTGGGCTGGGTGGCGCGGCACAGCCGGCTCGCACCGCCTGCCAGCCCAGCTCTGTGCGACCCCCAAACAACGGCTGCGCAAACAGAGGGGTTCAAGGGGTTACGGTGATGCCTGCCCCGCTAATGAGGCCGGGCAGGCCCGGGGCAGCTCCCCTCTCGTGGCCGGCTCGGATTAGCAGCTGCCTGTCCCCATCCCTAATTGAATTCTCTCCCCTTCAGTTAATTCTCATGGATTTCTTGGTGCCTCCCCGGGGACCGTCCTGCCTAACTAGTTTAGGGCTGGCTACGCCGGTCAGAGCGTGGCCAGCTCCTGGGGACGGGTGGGAGAGTCACCTGCCTGGGGGGGTGCTTGTGGCTGGGGTGGGGGCACCGGTGCTGCTGCCCGGGGGCCGGGAGCGCTGGGCACCTACTCCCTGCGGAGGGTTGTTTTCTGCCCCTCACCAAGAAGGGGCTCGTAATGGTCACTTGGGGCAAATAGGGACCATTTCCCTGCTTAATGGGTGGTGTTATGCATCTGGGCAGTCTTAGGACACCTTTTGGGTGCTGGGAGCCCCTTTCCCTCAGTGATGCTTGGTGCCTGGAGGAGCTCGCCCTGCTGCTGAGCCTCCCCACGTGGACCCCGCAGCTCGGGTTTGCGGGTTCACCCAGCTTGCAGGCAGAGCCGGGTCTCTGCTCTGAGCAAGCCCCCAGCGCTGCTCACTCCCTTTCTTTTCAGCGCTTTATTTTTCCCTTCCCCTTTCCTTTTCTTCCCCTCC